GCTATATATCCAATTTTTGCCTAGCCCTTGTTTCACCTTCGCATCCACAGTTTTCTCCTAGATGTTTTCTTTTTGTTACCAATATAACTTCCGTCGTTCTTGGTTGTAATCCCTTAGAGATTCCTCGTAGCAGCGGCTTAATGCCGTCTCACTTGGAGCTTTTCTACAAACACTTATGATTGTTGACACTCTTGACGATGGTAATAGTGTGAGTAACTAATCTAATATCACAATTTTCAAGTGGGAAAGTTATTTGTATTAATGTGTAACATAGAAGTCGTTCTAAAATGAAAACCAGAACACCACAATACTAATGAAACAATGTTACTGTGACATAAAAAACACTTGGTTCTTTTAACTTTACAGTGCCATGTATCCAGGATGATGAGGAGAACTGGATGGAGGATGATGAGAGCTTTCCAGAAATGTCTCGTAATTCGCGCATGGTCATTCGTGATACTTCCAGAAAAGAATCAGTTTTATTAGTAACGACGAAACATGTAACTGAAATAATTTCTAATAAAATGGTACCACCCTTGTCTACATAGGAGTGCATTGTACAGAATTTAGCACTAAATCGATTTTTAGAGCTATTGACAGTCGTAAGGAGAAGAAACGTATGTTGTATGTTGATATGTTGTGGTTCGCATGACCGGTAAAGATGAACCACTTAAGGATTCGAGTAAACAAGTAGCCAAGTCTCATTCCCACTGCGATAATTTCCTTCTTTGAAATCAACTAATACCCTTCTAACTATAGAACTTGCCAAAATAGTTTAATAATCTGTTAAGTTCAGTATTCTTAGGACCATATTCAATCTCTCATCATCACGTCACATCTTACCACCTCTTTCATGAACCGCACAAATAAAGATGAAGTACCAGTGAACTGCGTAGCATACATTCGTCAATACATAGATGATTACATACAATATCATGAGTGGATTGAAGTCAGCAGATCGAAACACCTTTAGGGAAATGCGTTTGATTGTTGAGTGAAGTTAACGGAATGCAAAAATAAGATTAGTTTTAGTCAGTAGTTGAATCCATTCGAAACGGAAAGTGCTCCTATTTTGGACTCCAACTCTTTGTGAAGAAATGTCCCTCAGAAAGTTCTAGATTTTGTACGGAATCAAAAAAAAAGTAATCGACTTTATCGAAGGCACTCAAGACGCTACCTATCAACAACATCGAGATTTTCGGAAAGAAGGCTTTTCAACAATCAGCAGTACAGTTTTTACGTCAACCTTCATTAATGTTCGCGCTTCGTAGTCTGAATTAAGCCAATGGAAAAAGGGCTTCAAATCCAATATTCTCATATGGATAGACTAATCTACGGAAATAGCATTTGCCATGAAACGACACGTATTTTTATGGATTTCTTCACATAGTCAACTGTGTACGACTGCATCTAGCGCAGTGGTTAGAGGTGCTGTGCAATGCATACTAAGTGGTTCGCTAAACGAAGCTCTCCGGATTAACCAATCTTTTTCTCATTCGGAAGACGGAAAATTGATATAACATTTGTCTGAGAGGAAAAAACACCGACTTGGTAGATTAGTAGGGTATCGAAAGTTACTGTATAGGTATGACATGCGTCGAACCACCTCTATGATACTGCGAATGGAGTCAAGTACATGGCGCACCCATGAGGGACTGATCAACGCAAAACGCGTCATCCTTTGTCCTTTAAGCCGACTTCTAAGTGTTCGACTTTTTCAAATCTTACTGATAGAAAATGTCACTAGTCCATTGTTTAAGTTAGTTAGCTAGTTAGTGTCAAGCAATTAGCCAGAAAGATCTCGCTTTCTTTTCAGGAACTGCGAGGTTGTGATTCAGCACAGGTTCACTTCCTTACAAAAATAGCGCACACAACACAGCGATAGCTGACGTTTCAGCAGTTTCATTTGTGTAATTATCGTTCAGATTTTCACCTTTCTGTTTGTGCTGTTGAAGGATTCGGCTTAGTACATCACTTATCACTATATCGTTCCAGCCTCTGAAGAAGGCGACACTGCCGAAACGTCAGCTGCCGCTGTTGCGTTATTTTTGTAAGGAAGTAAACAGGAACTGCGTTAACAACCTCGCGATTGCTGAAAAAGAAAAGCAGATATTTATAACCCAATGCCAAAGTCAATAGAAAGTCTACCTTGAAAACTACCAGAAAGATCACATCAATGTTGCTGAGATATTTGCAAAACTCCGAACAGCAGGTGTCTGCGGTGGGGAACGAACGCGCTATTACCCGTTCCGGATGCTAACGCGTTCACCACCACACCATGCAGGCCCATCCTTTCGCCTGTCTCCCAGCTAGTTCTATCGATCAGCGCCATCAGCATAATTATAACTACAGCCTCAGCTTAACTAGGTTCGTTGCCGGTTTGGTCTCCCTAGATCAATCTCGGTGATAGGTGATTGCTAGTGGCGCTGATCGAGAGAATTAGCTGAGAAAGGCGAAACGAAGGACCCGCATGTTGCGGTGGTAAACTCATTAACCCTCAGAACGCGTAATGGCACTTTCGTTCCTCACCGCAGACACCTGAGGTTCGGAGTTTTCCAAATATCTCAGCATCAATGAAGTTATATTTCGCAATAAACACAGCCATTAAGAAGAGTAAGCAGTAAATAATAAGTTGAAATTACCAGAAAGATCGTTGTTCTGTTTAATACGCACCACGTCTATAGCCGCACCATTTTGGATTTCTGCTCAAACGCATTCGTGTTAGACGTATTACCTCTTGCCTGAACATGGAAGCATTCCGTTTTCTTATCCACATGCTGCAGGTGGTTTTTGAAAAAAGGTTGCCACGCCCATTTTCTCGTTTAAGTCGTAATGTTTGCTCAGTGCCGACGTCGACTATAAAAATAGATTGCATTGTGCGACATTTTAACTCAACACTTCACTAATACAATGCGAAAAACAATGTACGGATTGTGAGTTCTGTTTTTAATTTTTTCTTGATTATTAAATGATCGGACACCGGATGATGCAGGGACCCCAGCAATCCTTTCATGCAATTTGTTTTCACGCATTCCTCGTCCACGAAGGTATCTGAATTCGCATGTGAGTTCCAATATCACATGGAGACTTCGAATCTCCCATGAATTCCGTTGTCGAGTTGATTCTTCGCGAAATCTTGAAGTAGCCGTGCAAAACGATCCCTGATTTTCATCAGAGGCCTGCTCCAACCTTAGTGGACTGCAAGGAGTCCTTCCAACGAAAGCCTGTTAACAATTCCTCGACGACGAAAGCATCAGAGACTTCTTTTCCCAAGTACAGGCTTGAAAAAGAGCCGCGCGCATTGAACGGCGTTTGTATCAGTGCACCTTCACGTTCCGCATTCTGAATCTTAAAAATGGCGTTCATTACCCACATTTTAATAGTTTAAACTATACCTAGTCCTGAAAAACCTTTCACCTTTGGTGAAATTAGCAGATACAGCAGTGAAATCTTTAGAAATCATGTTTCTATTTTATGTTATTAGGCTAAACAGTGGTCGGTCGTGGCGCAGTGGTCGGAGGCGCCCTGCAATACACATGGGATCGATCTCCGAGCCGTAAGCTCACCAAGCCTTCCATCCCTATGATGTCGGCAATTTGGTACCAGACTCGTCTGAGAGTATAATAGCACTGGCTCGATACATCGGTAGGTCACCGCGAGTCAGATAGGCCAGATATATATTCAACCTCCAACGGATGCGTACATGGCGCATCTCTCAAGGCTTGATCAACGCCCAGAACTTTCTTTTAAACCTAAATAGCTCCTTCTAATCCTATGAGATAAAAACCTAACATCGCGACTTTATCAGCTTTAACTCAAACAACGATGGCCTAAGGAGCCTCCCCATATGTACATACCGCATTTTGGATTACCTACTACTTGCTTGCATACTTATACACAGCATTGTAGGAGTGACTGGATGCATTTGTAGCCTATACGCTGACTTGCAGTAGCCGACACACCAAGTTACTCCTTTTACTTTCAGACAAATTTGATACCAATTTGGTGATCCTATAGGAGTGGGATGCTGTTTAGCATGGTGTACAGAATAAAGTCACCGACCCTATGTTTATTATACGGGACCATTACAACAAATATATTCTTAATAAGCTACTTACTTCGATACTTGGACCGCTCATCTTCAGCAGTTGTGTGGACACCAGTACACTTTCGACTCGTTTCGTTGCCTCCCAGTCGTCGTACAATGAAGTGATTTGATTCGAGTGTAGAGGTGAATGCAAGTCTCATAGCGCGATCTGTAAAACAATTGCTGCTTCGAGTGCAGCTGTTTGACCTCGTTTATGCCTACCCAACTTGCAAGTGTTCGTCCTAGGAAATGCGTATATCTTCATGGAGTCCACTCTACAGTTCTTTTCGTCCATCTGTCACTGTCACTGTCATCTGACCGGTCCACTTGTTTTTCTCTGTAGACGTGTGTTCTTCTAGATCCTGAAGACAGGATAGCTTTCGAGCATCAGAGTCCAGCATTCGGGTAGACATTGTGAGTGCCGGTTATATTTCAGGAGACAGCGCTCATGGGCCATGTGAGCAGTGCGGAGTATTTTTGATGTGGGCATTTTTACTAGTCAAAAAGAAAAAAGTACGCATTAATAGTTAACCGCGTTTACCGAAAAATAGAGGAAAATTTCGAAGTATTCCTTTCTTTTTTAATTAAAAACAATAATGTTACAACTACAATGATGTTGAGATATTTGCAAAACCTCGGACCGCAAGTGTCTGCGGTGGAGAACGAACGCGTTATTACCCTTTCCAGAGGCTGACGCGTTCACCACCGCACCATGCGAGTTCTCCGTTTCGTCTTTCTCTCAGCCTTATAATATTATATCTAAAAGTCTTTTCAGTTTAATAATGCTATATTTAAAATTGAAAACGAAAGAGTCGGTTTACTAATATCTTCTTTGGTCGTTCAAATAGCCGCAGTAGTTGTAAATTAACGGATGCACTATTCAAATAAAAAAACTCAAAAACTTCAAAAATAACTGCGAACTTTAAAAAGTAGATGGCTTAGCTTTTGTAAAAATGGCAGAGAACTATCAGAAACTCAAAATACCGAAGATTCCAGACTGATTTTCACTCTTGCATTGCTTGCCAGAGGACAGTTCCCCTCTTCGAGTGGACAATACTACCCGAACAGACAGTACGACACAAATGGACAGTATAGTGAGTCTTTTTCAAATGATATCCGAAAAAGAACCAAGCCCTAGAAAGTGTTTCTGAACCACATTTCGAGTATTGCAATTCGTTTTTCACACACCCATGACATGAACGACAGGCGTGGTTCAATTCTCAACATGTCATGTGATTTTCACACGTTCACTCAGTTTTAATACGATTTCGCGTTACGATATCACCTTTACGTTTCTCTTATAACTCAAGAGTGAACGAGAAGCTAATCATGTTTGTTAACCAAAGGTTTGCATGAGCATGTTTGACTTGCAACTACTAAGAACTCATGATATTTCATCAATTCCAAACATTTTGGCACTAATAAAAGATCATCGTCTCTACAAGATGTCATGCTTGCAGACTACTAGTGAGACATGCTTAAGTTTCCCTATCTAACGTTTAGATTCCAACCTTCTTCAGGGCCCGCACAATCGTCCAATAACGAGCCAGGATATTTGCCTGATTATCAGGGTGATATGTACACGAATCAGCAGAGGATCGCAGAGACACAGGCGCTGAATCGACCGTTCTTCGACTCGATTGGCGGTCCACCTCCACCACCACCTAAAACGCCTGCCCAACTGGGACTATTCCAAGCGGCTAACTCCCAAATCTCATCGTATTCCTTGTCCGGCAATATGTATACTAGTAGTAATAATAACGCCTATCCCATCGATCAGAACCCATCTAATCAATACGGATTCAATCCAAATTATCCGACTTCGCTAGCAAATGGAGAAGATTGGCATCACAATAACTATGCTCTGTATCCAAATCATATGAAGCACCAAATGGAAGTATGTTGCTGATGTCAATCTGCCTCTCTATTCAAACTCATAAAGTGCCTCCAGAAAGTTGTGCTTAGTAAGAATAGAGAACTACATCAAATTTCGACCAACGATCAAAAGCAATAAATGTACGTAGAGATTGTGTGTGTGAAATATTACCGCCTTTGTTCGAAAACCATTTACTTTCATTTACTAAAATAGCGGATTTTGTACTATTACGAGAAGAATAGCATGCGAAATTATTAGATATTGAATATGAATTGTTAAAAATTTCCTGTTGTTATTAGTTATGATGATATTTTTTTTAATACCGGGAGGATCACAGTGGTAGTAATGTCGGTCATCACGAGCATGGTACTAGTTCGATCCCGCTCCGGGCCAATCAACTCTCTCCCATTTCTCGGTCGTGAAATTAGTAGCGGACTTGTCCGGGAAAAAATCACTCTCTGCAATCCAGTTGGGAACGCTCCAGCTCAGCTATCTCAGGACTCCAGTGAGAACTGCTAGACCAGCATTCTACGACATTCAAGACGAAATGAAAATCCGCAAGCAGCAACCCAAGCCACACGTAAAAATTGGAAGACCTTCGTGGACAGTGGATAGAGGAAACGAATCGAATGTGAGAAGTGCTGGGATCCGCACAGTAGACCTGAAGACGGGTCTGTAGAGAAAATTTAGCTATGATGATAGTGGTTGTGCAGAATTCTACAAATTGGAAAATATCTTGAGATTACTACGTTTATTACCAGTTTAAATAGTAAGGGACCGTAGAGGGTTTTATTTGTACATAGAATAAAGTGAACTACAACGTGGTGAAAATGGACATCCTCTTAGACAATTACAACTCAGTAGGTACGCTAAAATGATAAATCGTCCATTATTTATCAATCCCCCAAGGGTGCGGAGTACCTTCCCACTAAGCATCGTAGAAGTAGTTGAATGCATATCAGTGTTTTAGTCCAGACAGAGAAGTCTGGTATCACTAGCACAAATAGAAACCTACGAGTGGTGGCGGTTGATGGTGGATTTTTCGTGTCTTCGTGAACAAATTGCAGAGGGTGATGAGCAAAGCAACGACATCTTCTGTTTATTCAAATCCACAAATTACGATATGATCAAACCCCAGTGGAGATCAGCATAGTCTCCTTGGATGAAAAACCTTCGTCGATTCGGATTTCATACAAACATGGGTACGCATTATAGAACAATCGGTTCTCAATTAGCTCTCCGCATTCCATTCACACGATTTTGCCCTCATTACATCCACATAACGAAGTTACCAAGGAAACATGAACTAATCACTAGGATATCAATTAACGTCGCAATGTTCCTCTTTCGTGGGTGTTTCGGAATATGTATAGGCAAATACGGTAGAATTGGTTCCTGTTTCGGTTGTAGATGATTACGATTCTTGACATCGTCACTCATCAGTGATTCACATACATGCTCAGTTATTCCTCTAGGCTGACGATGACAGCTCTTCTGTGTCCGTGGATGTCACAACTCTCGTGCGACCCCTTCTCCTCGGTTTAGACCTAGTCTCTCCTTGGTAAGCTCCGTTCGGATTGCAAAGGATACCGTGAATTTTGTTGCACTACCACATACCACCCTTTGTCCTCCTTCTTGCCTCTCCTGACCTTTCAACCACGGTTACGTAAGGTTGAAACGCCACGGAAAGGTGGCGTGGTCGGCATCCTCTCCGTTTTGATCTATTTTCACTCCGTACAATCAGCCGGTTACGGATGTCAACAACCTTGCTTGCGATCCACAGGGATTCAACATCGTTGGTTACGGTAATGGATGAAGAAATAGTGCATCACTCTCGGATCATGCTGAGATCCGTAGGATGGTGTTGCTGCTAATTTCAGTTTGATCGGCTTCGTTTTCGTATTTTGATTAGAAGTCGTCTATCGTTTCCTTTCTAGTGAATTCAGTGAGTTCATCTGCGATTATGCCACCACAAAATATCGACTAGATTATGATCGATAACTCTGTTAGCTAGCTAGAAAAACAAGAAAAGTCAAACACAGATCTCTCGGCTTTGGTGTCCTTCGTTCTTTTTTCTTCTAATTTGACTATCTACTATTATTCAGGGGCGCGTGTGGCCCAGTGGTCAGAGGCGCCATGCGACAAACACATGGATCGATCTCCGCACCCACGATCCTCCAAGCCTTCTATTCCTCCGGGGTCGGTAAATTGGTACCAGAATTGTCTTGGGAGATAGCAGCACTGGCACGATACATCGATAGGCCACCACGAGTTATTGTAAAGGCCAGATATACATTTAATCACCTCAAACGATACTTAATGAAATGGAATGCATGGCGCATACCTCAGCGATTGATCATCGCCGAGAGCTTTGTCGTTTTATCCTTTTACCACTATCCAATGCTAAACTGTTTACATACTCATTGATATCTTCTAAGCAACCAAATGTATTGCGAAGTTAAAGGTTAGAAAAGCGGTGTCTATGACACGAGTTGTTGATAAGAGCTATGGATGACGAATAAAACTAGGGTAGACCTCTGTTTCAATCAATACTATTTTGCATGCGATTACTACACAAAGCAGGTGACCGGAGAGCAAAGTGGTAGTGATGTCCGTCATCACGAGCATGGCGCCAGTTCGATTCTGCTCCGGGTCAACCTAGCCTCTCATTCCTCCGGGGTCAAGAAATTAGTACTGGACTTGTCCGGGACAAAATCATTCGCTGCGATCCAAATGGGAACACTGCAGCCCGGCTATCTCAGGACTCTAGGGAGAATTGCTCGACCAGCATTCTACGATACTCAAGATGAAGTGGAAATCCTCAAGCAGCAACGAAAGCCACACCTAAAAGTTGGAAGATCGTCGTGAACATTGGATGCGAGGGAACGAATCGAATGTGAGAAGTGCTGGGATCCGGACAACAGACATGAAGACGGGTCATGTAAAAACAGTAATAAAAAAAATTGCACAAAGTAGTAGATTGAAAACTACGATTTAGATTGTACAAGTGCAAAATGATGTGAGAAAAAAGACAGGCATGCATAACAATGAGGTCGGAATAGAAATCAGCGAAGAGAAGCGGTCAGGAATAGGAGAACAGTGTACTACAGTAATTGCGCGCTACGAAAATTCTAGAATGAAACTGTATACAATGAATATGTAGGTAGGGATACCATCACATGAGACAAGTCTTGAAACGGACTACGTGGCAACGAAATTAAAATAAAACGTTTAGTCCGCTCACCGAGACCTAAAGCACAACAGTATTGCGGCGATGGTTAGGGCCAAACTTATCGATCAACGGCTTAAGCGCTATTATTGATCCGTTTGGTCTGCGTCATACAATTCGGCTTGAGCTAGTTGTAACTCTCACATAAACGACAATGAGTTTCAAGTGTGGACTATTCTGAAATCTCAACTGATCGTTGAACTCCTTGCGGTTTTGGTCCTGCTAGTACCTGACTTAGATCAAGACGCAACAAGTTCACTTGATAGTGCTAAACGTGTTAAAAGATAAAGGTAAAGCTTTCGGCGTTGGTCAATCGCTGAGGTATTCGCCATGCATTCGACTTCATTGAGTATCGTTTGGAGGTAATTGAATGCATATCTGGCCTTTACAATGACTCGCGGTGGCCTACGGATGTATCAAGCCAGTGCTGCTACCCTCCCAGACAAGTTTGGTACCAATTTGCCGACCCCGGAATATAATGGAAGGCTTGGTGGGCCGGAGGCGCGGAGATCGATCCCACGTGTGTGTCACAGTGACGCCTCCAACCACTGCGCCATACGCACCCTTTTCTAAACGTGTCAAGCTCTATAAAACCCTAGCTCGTCGCCTATTTTTAAGTTAGAAACGAAAAATGCAGCACAACATACTATTGTGTAACGTTAACATTCCCTTTCCATGCTTCGTCGTGCAATTTGATCTGAGAGAAAGATACTTCTGTTGTCACTAACTTGGCAACATTGTTAATGTACCAGAAGTCTTATTGCGTAGAGCAACTCTTCTCTTCTTTACTTGTACTGTCCAAATGGATGTTGTAATTTTCAGGCTCCACCTACTATTCGCCGTCTTCTGGTTACAATCATCAACACTACAATCCGAGCAGATTCGACAATGGTTACCAGAACCCCAGCACATATGGCAACGGCTACTATTCAGCAAGCTCCTCCAGTATGTCGCAGTACTACAACCCGAACTCCAACTCGCCAACTCGCTACTACGATCCAGTGCTGAATACGAATCTCGGCTATCCTAATCAAGTACAGCGTGATCAGAACTACCGATATGGTTTCGGTACCACCGCCAACGCCTATGATGGCTATAACGGTCAGAATGGTTATAACGGTCAGAATGGTTACAGCGGTCAAAATGGCTACAATGGTCAGAATGGCTACAACACCCAGTATGGGTACTACGATCAGAACAGATATCGGAATGGCCAGTCGTACAGTCAGCAGAATGGCTACGCCAGCCCCCAGAGTTGGTGCTGTGGACCAACGTCAACATCTTGTTGTTATCAAACCTCTAGAGCAATGACACAATCGTATGGTAGAAAATAGACCACATTGCCAATTATAGCGAAATCGTTTCCTGGACCTCAGCATTGCTAGTCGTTCGGCTGTAGTGACACCCTCTCATTTTGCTACCGTTCAGTTATTAGCCGATTATAAAATTATATGGTAGATTAAATTAGAAGATGACAAAATATTGAAACTTTCAACAGTTCCGACGACGAATGTTTACTACGTTTCATGGACTCTGACACGCTTTTGACAAAACACTGCGCAAAATGTGAATGATTTATTGAAACTGTAACAATAGTGCGAACATGTGAACATATGTCCAAGACAACTGTACATATCTCTCGTTATACGAACCAAAATTAAGCAGTAACAACTAAAATCATAAGTGGTCCTTAAATCAAGGCGTGAACATCGATCTCCAACCAAAGACTAGGGAAGGAAGTAAACACGTATACGGCGTTTCAGCAAAACATTCCTATGAAAAGCTCGGTTTTATAACAGGAACGAACACCTGGCAACTCTTTAGAGTAAATTCGTTTAAGCAGCTATAGTTCACTAACCGCAGAGTGCTCTACAATTTCAAAATACAACCCCGATTAACAACGAAACGTAATAGAAATAAAACCTATGAAGTGCTACGGAAGGTTAAACTTCGATAATAATTCCAATTAGTCATAAATTCAACACCGAACCGAGAGAGTCCTAATTAAACTAGTAATTGCTGTATTATGAAAAACTTCTGAATAACGAAGAGTGACAACCCATCCTAATGGGAAGCATTCAATAGAGGGTGGTTACGCTCACCTTTAATCCCAACGATTTCGATTCATAAGATCAGCCAAACTATCTTCGACAGTTCTGTGGGTATGCAACAAATTTCCAATGTTAGCACGTCGTCGTACCGCGTATTTAGAACCATGTGTACGTTTTTCCTAAAAACAGCATTCAGTAAGCATATTCTAAGCATTAAATATAGAAATATACAAACAATCACACGCTCCACTTCCGGCATGTCCCGGTAGGTCCACACCACAGCTACATATTAAATGAGAAGAAAATGCTGTAATGAAATATGTGTATTTTAGTAGCACCAGTAACCTTTCCTGGCATTCTTTGCGCCTCCAATTTTGCATGTTCTCGCTCTCGAAGCTCATCAAGTCCCTTAACACCCTTGGAAGCGAAGTAGGCAGATTCCATTTCCTAAGATAAGGCATGGTCAGTGTGCCTTCAGATTCTACATCTCCTAAAATTCTAAGATAGGCAGCAAAATTGTGAAAATACCTACTCAAGGTGGGAATTTATTAAACTATAAGGGTGAGAATTTATTAAACTATAAGTGATTGCCGCCAATTATAGGTAAAATTAAACTCTTTTTGCTCAAATATCATTTAATGATGCTTTTAAGATAAAGTTCGAAATAATGCTTTCACCAATATATTCGACTTAACACGTAGTGATCAATGCTTGTATTTCGATAAAAGATAAAGGACAAAACTCATGGCGTTGATCAAGCCCTGAGAGATGCTCCATGCATTCGACTTCATTAAGCATCGCTGAAGGTGAGAACGTGCACATCTAGCCTTTACAATGACTTGTGGTGGCCTACCTGTATCGATCCAGTACTTCTATCCTCCAAGACAAGTCTGGTACCAATCTTCCGAACTCGTAGGGATAAAAGGCTTGGTGGGCCAAGGACGAGGAGATCGATTTCATGTGTATTAGAGGGTGCATCCGACCTCTGCGCTACACGTGCCCCGATGTGTTTTGATAACTGCCCATAATTTTCAGCAATTAAAGTATGTTAAGAGTTTGATAGACCTATTAAAGAAACATTGCTATACAACGCATTACATATACATTAGTAAACATTTTAAAGCACATGTAAGTTCTGTAAGACGTTCTGATTTCGAATTTGTTTTAAATTAAGAGTTTCAACAACGGCGAAAGCCAAGCTTAATCACTTGAAATTTTTAACTTGAGCGCAACAGCAGCTAGTATCAAGATGGAGCCCTGTTTTATCAATCAATCCACAGCTCGACATATCCAGAAAATCGCGAGTCTTGTCGTGTGAAAATAAGAAAACCCATGGAACTCATGAACTGCTTGATTAGAAATAAAACACTATACTACTTTTGGTCATGCACTCATCGAGATGAATTCATATTTACCATCGTGCGCTCAAGACAATTTATTGCAATGAAGTAAACAACGAAAAGACGACACAAAAGAACTTCGCTTACGGCGGTGATGTAGGGACGGGTTAGCAGTTTCATGACGCCCCATTCACGAGCGAATCGTTCTCGCAGTAGTGCTACACGTGATGCCGAAACTGGATAGTCCGGACGACCAGTCCTGAAAAAGGGAAGTGGAAGTGATTAGCCGTTTCAGTCCGACTGAAATCCAAACTGTCGCCCCTGGTTACTCTCAACAAAGCAGATAATGGTTAGGCAACATAATACTGATACTGATATATTCTGGCAATTCCTTGTTGCAAAAAATAAGCACGGAAGACTTCGTCATGACGACTGCCTGCTTCCCTCTAAAGTTATACTGCGTCCTGACAACGTATTTGGCTGTTTGATATGGTTGAGTTGGTTCGAAACTGTTCATTCATAAACATTTAGTTATAGCACAAGTTCTCAAATCGATGCTGCTAAACCGGAAATTCTTCCCATTGTTATTTCAAAGGCTTAAATTTAGCTAATCATAAACATTACAAAAAGGGTTATAACCATGATGACTGTTGTAAAAGTGATTACACAAACAACCAATAACAAATAGTGATAAACTAATGAACCAGACAGCTAAAGAGAAGAGCTCCCAACTACTGTGCAGGCTCTAGAGTTTATCAAAGTTCACAATGTGCAAAACTATGGCTCACAAGGTGAGCATGTGCTGCAGTAGTCGGAGGCGCCCTGGAACACACATGGGATCGATCCCCACGCGAGTGGCCCACCAAGCCTTCCATTCTTCCGGGGTCGGCAAATTGGTACCAGACCTGTCTGGGAGCACAGCATCACTGGCTCGATACATCGGCAGGCCACCGAGAGTTATTGTAAAGACCAGATAAGCATTCAATCACCTCCAATGATGCTGAATGAAGTCGAACGCATGGCGCATCCCTAAGGAATACATCAACACCGAAAGCTTTATCCTTTATCTTTTTTATTGTTCACAATTCTGCGTTCATCGAACAGCCAATGATACTTACGCTTTCTGCTTGGGTAGTGGTGGACCACTGTAACCGATCTCCCACACGCGTCGATTCCAATGCGAAATATTCAAGTTGCGGTTTAACGCCCGAGTAAGGAACATCTTCTGGTAGCTGATTTTAAAGAAGCAAAGTAAGAACCAAACGAGATAAGTATGAAGAAGCCACAACACCTCAACACAACGATCAACCCACGCCAATCCTTTATGACAAGAATGGTGACCATATAATCATACAAAGCAGAAAAATTCAATAACCTGGCCATTGATAAATTATCAAACCACCACATCATACATGATTTGTAGAATTCTCATATAACTTTCATGAAAAAACATACGCACACCTACTCAAAGGAAAGAAGGAACCTATGTTACAGTGGAAACAAACAGAGCGAAAAAAGCAGTAAACAAAAGCGAATCATTGAAAGTTTGCTCATCAGTTTAACGGAATAAGTCCAGTGCATCCAAAGCCAACTAATCAGCAAAGAAAAGAACGCAATCATCGAAGTTCAACGGAAGGAAAAAGCACTAATAGGAAATCTCTCTTTAGATGATTCAGACATAAGACTAATATTGAAGTAGAACGGTAGTTTAACATCGTATGCTGACACTAATGAAATGTAACTGAAGCAACTAACAAATAGACAAATAATAGGATACCTATGATTAAAAGTAACCGTTACTTACGTAAAAACAAAAAGCCACGAAACATTTGACCACAAAAAGAAGTCATAGGACGTAGAAGAGCGAAATCTAGAAAGAAGACACAACTTTTCTACTACCTATTCCAGATGTAGAATGCCTAAATTAGATAGGAATACTGCAGAACAGCAAGCGGACAGAGCTTTCGGTTAGTTTCGGTAATGCCTGACTAAAGGAAATGAAACCCCTATTATTTCCTGCATCTATCATCACCCATACTCCTCAGGATTTTTTCTGAAATGACAGCAGGCAAATAGAGGAACAAGACTGTAGCATTCAACAGTTATGATAGCGATTGTGTTCCGTAATGTCATGTTCACTTCCATTAAGACTTGTAAGGAAAGAGCATCAAAGACATCGTTGCTCTGGTTGTGAACTGAATAGCGGTGGAATTAGGCGTAAAGTACTATCAAATACTATTCTATTCAGAACACCTTTCCATACTTTCACTAAAAGAAGTACAACTCTTGCAAGACGAATGTGTGTGGGTACTAAGACTGGGGACAAACGCATTTTATCGATGACTAACTGAAGAAATATCACTATATCCGAGTACTTGGACCAGCAGATCCAATTCGTGGCGCTGGTCGCCGTAGTTCAGTGATTAATAAACGGATGCCTTGTTGCGCCCATGGACCCATTTCTTCAGGAAATTCCAACCTCATTCGATCGAAAAATCTGTGTGCGTCATCGTAGTTTGTACGATCGATAGCTGAAAACAAAGTAACAATTATTCACATAGGATCCATCGGAAATGAAGAAGTGGAAACCAAGTGGAAAACATAAAGAACTACAAAAGATACTTAGCAACCTTTATCGACAAGTATAATGGTCTGACAACAGATTGTTTGCATAAAAGCAATCTACACAATTTTGATCCTCTTCCTTAACACGTTTAGCATACAGAACACTCAATAAGAAATATGCATATTGATTGACGAACGACACTGCGTAAATAAGCTAGAACTTAACACAGTAATTACTCACCATCTACAACATAGTTAAGACTTTTAAGGCATCGTTCCGAGATTCGCCCTTCATCGATCGCTTCTTTTAGCTCGGATATTCTCAACTGCACGCCTCGGTAGATATTCTTAAAAACGACCACAAAAAATAAGTGATGTTGGTAAATTCAATGTATGAAGAAAAAACGACAAAGAATACCGGTGATAGCTTTTCGCTTGCCATAGATAAGCATAAAATAATTTGTTGCCGGCTCATGGAAACGTCACCTGGAGCTTTTGCAATTGGGCTGAAAATCATACAGCATTATCCTCACAAGATGACGAATTTCAAACTTAAAAAAGGTTTATTAGACTCCTTTTAACCCAATGGCTTTCAAGATAAGTTCAAAGACTTCATTACTAGTCGAATTCCAATACCTATTCAAATAGAACAAGCACATTGGACTCTTGAAGTATTGTTAGTTTTCCATTAAAGCGATTCAAGCAGGAAAACATATCACCACGATGCAGCGCTCGTTCGGTAAGTTGCAATGATCATCCTTTTTTGGCAAAAGAGGTGTAGCATCTTTCGAATTCATGTCTCTCGAACAATGCCGACCAACAGTAAACTCTCTTCTTCTACATCTAGCCCTTCCCATTGCATTTTCATAAACGATGATTACACAATACGTTAAGTTCACAACCTATGGTAAACTCCAGCAATGACACGTTGCAAAATGTGAAAAACTTATTACTGCTTAGGAAAAAAATGATCAACCTCTTTCGCGCCTCGTCGCTTGTCTGAGAACGATATACGTTTAACTTCGCCTCCTTTTCCATTCAAACCAAAGTTCACAGCATATAGTTAGATAGGTGCGTCTTGCGGCCAAATTCTTGTTGAAGTCGTTAATTTATTGAATTTGCATCTCATCAAAGTGAATCAACTGATGGAGGTTGAACTGTCGACCGTGAGAATGGGAATGGAATCGATAAACTGCGCGTGAGAAATGCTGCGTAGCAATAGGAGGAACGGTAGAGAATGAATCTTTTGACGCTTAATCAAGTTTCAACCAATCTATAGATGCGACTTAGGTCTGTGAAAAACTCACCGATAATTTACGCCTTCGTGTGTCGAGGGTCGCCGTGCCGAATCTACAACGCAATTCGGCAACGAGGCGATCACGTCATTTAATTGAACAGATGGAAGCGCTGAGTCAAAACTTGTAGCCGGACATGTCGTCTTCTGAGACAAAAAGGATGACGTTTTAGTGTTGCTAACCGAGTTAGCGGATGAAGCTGCCCAAGCAACTTGCGTTGTGGGTTGACTAGGTATCTGAAACACACATCAGTAAATCGACAAACATCAAAATTCTAGAAGACTGTAGACTAATGGGATTGTCCGACGGCTCTCTCATTTTACCTCTCTCAAAGGTAAGGTCCCGACGTTAATAGTTCAAATCACTAACATCCCAACTACATGTACTCTCATCAATCACTGAATTATTTGAGCTGCCACAAGTAAACAATCTATCCATTTCTACGTATAACGCTGTCCATTAACATCTTTTTTCACGGTAGGGTATTATGTGAAATAAAACGACAATTATTCCGAGATATTTAGAAAACTTGAACTCCAGACCAGATCGAACAGCGATTATCCCCCTACCGGAACCTGCCGTGTCACGCAAGACACCACTAAGGCCCTCGCTCTGCCTTTCTCTCAGGTCTATTCATCTCTGTCGCACAAATAATCTTCAAGTGAGTTCTGCTGTCATTAGATACACTAATATTGTTAATGTTTTCATATGGTGACTGTAGTCTTATCGTTCTTGGCAACAGTTACCCACAAGGAGCTCGCTCGGTCATAAGAGCAAAGACGATCTCGAATTCCCTTTGATTTGCTCCTAAGCTAGAATGATTAATATAAAAATTCATCCTTGTTCAAGCAAAATTCCCATATAAAGTTTATTCGTTACAGCATACCTTTATTATATGATGTACAAACCATGTTCTTCATTGGACATATGCTCCTTCATCTAATAATTACATAAATTCCCTTTCGGTTAAAGGATTAAGGTTAGAGGAAAAAAGATTAACATAATTAAATTACCCTGTATTCCCTCCGCGTTGATCAACCGCTGAGGAATGCGCCGTGCATTCGACTTCATCAACTATCGTTAAAGGTGACTGAATGCATATCTGCTCTATACAATAACTCGCAATGGCCTATCCATGTGCTGAATCAGTGCTGCTATCCTCCCAGACAAGTCTAATGCCAATTTACCTACTCCGGAATGATGGAAGCCTTGGTTTGTGGAACGGGATCGGACCCATATGTATTGCAGGGCGCGTCTAACCACTATACTACATGCGTCCATCAAAAGTGGTAATTGTATAAAATCACCTGACTAGTTACTACTAGGCATTCATGGGGTATCTGAAGTAACTCGGTTCGGTGGTCAATAAATACATGGGTTTCTCCGTTTTTATGAATAAAAAGCTTGAAAAGTCGCTCAACCGCTGGGTATCAGCGGAATGAAAATTCTCTTCACAAAAACGGTTGAACCGTTTACAACACTTAGTAAAAAAAAATCGCTTTCGCAACCTAGTCATCAGCGATATATATCCTTCTTTGAATTTGGGTGGTGTTACAAGTTTTCCGCAAAAAACAAACCGAAAATTTTATAGCATGCACAAAGTACAAATCATCACAGCTCTCTTTTCTATATACTCGTTGAAATAAAACCTGTCAAGTGTTAAATAAATATTGCAGGATTAAAGCTGCTAATAAAACCAAGGACGCGTGCAGCGCAGTGGTCGGAGGAGCCCTGCAATACACAAGGGATCGATCGCCGTACACCAGACTCAGCAAGTCCTCAATCCCTCCGAGGTCGTCAAATTGGTACCAGACTTGTCTAGAAGGATAACAGCACTGACTCCATACATCGGTAGGCCAACGTGAGACATTGTAAAGGCTAGACATGCATTCAATCACCTCCAAACAATGCTTAGTGAAGTCGAATGCATGTCACATCCCTTAGAGATTGATCGATTCCGAAAACTTTTTTTTTACCTTTCTAATGAAACAGATTTGAAAAAAAAAGTCGAAAAATGGTAACGGCGTAACAAACTTTTACACTAACTCTACTACACACGGTAGGCAATCACAACTCTGGTGGTTCCTTAATATCGGTACTCAACGCATCGCGATGGACTATGCAATGTTGCAGCTAACGAGCTCAAGATCCCTCAAATGAGAGAGATCCTTGGTTGGATCGTCTCTATGCTATCTAATTGTTAGGTCCTCTTACAACGAATAATGCAGTAAACCAAAAACTATGCTCAAAGAAGAAAGAGGAACAAACTGAACCGTTATCCAGATAGAGGTTATAAAACTACCTCGTAAAAGCTAAACAATTCAAAGAAGTATATTGATTATTCATTTCGCTGGCTATTTCA